TGCCATATGTTCCTTGACTTTCCCCTTCCATTCCTTTTCCCTGCCCCCCCTCCCTCCTTCCCTCTTGTCTCTGTTGATTTCTTTTCCTTTCAGTGTTGCTGGTCTTATTTTCCTTGCGTCTTGAAAGGGGAAGAGCTGAGGGAGGGAAGGAGGGAGGGGGCAAGGGAAAGTAGTGGGGGGTAGGCAGAGACAAGTGTATTTGAAAAAATAAATTAAAATTAAATTAAAAAAATAATAATAAAACAGTCAAAGGTAAAAAAAATAAAATAAAATGTCACTTGTATAAGATCAAAAAAAAATTATGTCCTACAAATACAGCACTTTATTATCCTTTTCTATTTGAGTCAGGCAACACACCCAAAAATACATTAAAGATCACTGGTTGGAAGGGGTTAATTGCTTAGCCTAAAAAGATAATACAATGTTTGTTATTTTTATTAACTAAATAAAGGAATGGCCATTAAATAAAATAAATAAATAAATAAATAAATAATAAAAAATACCAGCTATAATCACAAGTCCATGCCGTTAGGCAAGGGCTGGGCTCTGGGTGGGTGGGTGGGGTGTGTGTGTGTGTGTGTGTGTGTGTGTGTGTGTGTGTTTATAACTTCACCATTCACAGGAAAGAATAAGAATGTGTAGTTTATTAAATGTCATTCTCCCAACGCAGTCTACAAGGATTTCTCCCATCATTCCCTATGAGGGTTTTATCCCCTCACCCACTTTATGTAGGAACTTCCAAACTATTACCAAGGATCTGATAAGTGGGTGGGAAAATTTAACCCAATTCCAACAATACCAATAGTTACTGCAACCTACTCCCTGTTCCAGTGTTGCTAAAATACGCTTGTAACATCTAAGTAATCCAAACCAGTGAGTACTTTAAAAGTCATATTCATTTGACTTTGAAATGAAGGTTGGCATATTTCAAAAACAAACTTCCTCTTAGTTCTGCCTTGGATAAAATCAATTCTTATTTCCTGAGCTCACATCAACTGAAATCAGGAAGAAGCTCTCAAACCTTTTTGGTTTCAGAGAAACCCACCACTTCGCTCAGTGTTAAATATTTGCACAGCAATCCTCCAGCAACCCACAAAATACACAGAAGCAAAACTCCTCTACTCATCAAGTGGGAAATGTGCAGAGAATTGACTCTGAATGCAGCAGGTGCTGGCCAGTTCTATACACACACATCTGTGCCCTTCCCGGCCATCTAGGGACCTTGGTGCAGCCCTCAGGGACATCTGACCACCAGTCTGGTTGTCTCCAGCTTTGCTCAGGAGACCTCAGGCTCCCCCACTCCCAGCAAGACCAGATTTACTGGTACTTTTATTAACTGAGAGGCAGAGGCAGGTGGTTGTGAAGACAACTCTGCAGGACTGCTAACCCTAAAGGCAAGCAGCATTCTGTTTAGACCACAGCTAATAAAAGATCAACCAGGATGTTCTTTTTCAAAGAGTTAAAAGTTCAAAGAATCTGCAACTTAAAGGAGGACAGCTTTGAAGGGCATCTCTCCTCACTCTTATTCTAGCATCAAACACCACATCAAAACTGGGCCTGTCCAAGTGCTTGAAGTAGGCCTTTGTCCCTAAAGTGCCTGAAATAGGTAAGCAGTGACCTAGGGAAAGAAAGAGCTGCATTCACTTAAGTGAGTGAAATAAGATCATTTTAAAATATTATATCTTGGTTTATAGTACATTATAATCCACCGTTTCTGGGGACTTTGAGAGGGAAACACTATAGAGAAGGAGTTACAGTCCTTCTCAGCACCTGACAGTATTTGTATTCTAGAGATAAGGCTTTGTGTAAACTTCCGAAATAAGTTTGGATGAACTTTGGAACTCTATCCTGCCGGTCAGATAATTCTCCTTCAGTCACTCCTGAAAAGCAAATTATTTTGACCTGATTCCTTTGGTGACATTATTGTACAGTCCCTGAAGGAAGGTGAGTTTGGGGCATTAGGTGACGTGAAACGGGCAGCTCTAACAGCAGCCTGGCCAAGAGGCAGTGGGGAGGAGAGAAGCCACATTTGCTGTCCTAAGCGTTGAGAAGAGACTCTGCATAATATCGTGGCTGAATGATAGTATGAACCATTAGGTTGTTTTTTTCTCCATACACATTTGCGCCCCCGCCCCCCACTTTTCCCCTTTCACATTTCATTGCCTCAAAGAAGACACAGGACAAGATGAGAAGCAGAAGGGTCCGCAGGCCCTTCTGGGTTTTGTTTTCCAAAAGCCAAGCCCATGGGAGAGGACGGGGTCTGAGGGAGAGGCAGAAGCCAGGAGGACACTGGAGGGAGAGTAGGCCTCCGCCCAGGGGAAGAGAGAGCACTGCGGGCCCCTGCCGGGGGCTGTGCAAGAATGGGGGGCTCTGTTCTGAAGAGGGCAGCAAGCCTCAGGTGGGTAGTTCCTACGGAGGATGCCCTCAGGCCCTGAGTGCCCACCACGTGAGCCAGGCATGTGGCAGAAGCACAATCACATGGGGCTGGCACTGTGTTATGAACTGAATGAGGGTGTCCTGCCGACATTCAGATACTGAAGTCCTAACCCCCTATTGATGGTATTATGAGGTGGGGCTTTCGGAGGTAATTAGGTTTGGGTTATGTCCTGAGAGGGGAGCCCCCATAATGGGACCAGTACCCTTATAAAAAGAGGAAGAGACACAAGGGTGCTCTTCTGGAGCAGGTGCTGAGGAAAGGCCATGTGAGCAGAGTAAGAAGGTGGCCTTCTGTCACCAAGAGAGTCAGCAAGAGAGTTCTCACTAGAAAGTGAACCTGCCAGCAGCTTGATCTTGGACTTCCCAACCTCCAGAACTTTGAGAGAAATAAAAGTCTGTTGTTTAAGCCACCCCGTCTCTGGTATTTTGTTATAGCAGTCCCAGCTATCTAGGACACACATCAAAGACCATTATTTGGAGAACTTTTCATTGCTTTTAGCCCTCTATGAGCCTCTCTCCCAGATTCTGATGCAACCCTAGAAGGGGGAGGAAGGGCCCCCATACTGACTAAATGGAAGTTCGGGTAGAGGCTTGAAATAAAGATGAAGTTGATGAATAGATAATAGGAAAAAATCCCACTATTTCTGGCATAAATACACTTTGAACAGAGAGTCATATCAGCAGGAGTAGGTGACTGTTTTCAAACCACCCTGAATTTAAGTTTTGAGAGTCCCACAATTTTCACTGATCAGAAGTAACAATAAATGTTATAAGAATGGGACTCTTCTCTATCTCTTGTACTTCCTCAAAAACATCACATTCAACTACAGCCAGTCCCCTTGGCATGAGAACTGCTTTTCTGCTTTTTGTCCTGCCTTTTAAAAGACACGTGAGGTTGGGAAGTTTAGCCTCTCTACCCCGCAGTTTTTATCTGCAAAACTGAGCTGGCACTTACTGAACTAAGAAGAGCCATGCACAAAATGAGGTACTGATATCCGTCTCTGGCTCCCCCACTCCTGGTCTCCAAGCTGCACCATCCATGAATTGGCTTCCTTACCCACGTCTAGGCAAGGCTGGGCAAACTCCGTATTTGGCAAACAAGTGGTGGTGACGATGATGATGATGATGATAGTGGGTACTGATAATAATGTCCCTAAATATTTGTCAAGTGTTTTATGGATCGCCAAGAAAGTTTCAAATTCTTAATGTGATTTGATACTTTTAGCAACTCTGTGAGGGACTGTTATGCCCCTTTTGCAGATAAATATACTGAGAGAGGTGAAGTGAGAGGTCATGGTGACAGTCACCACCTGTCAAGTGGCAGGAGCTCCATCCATAAAAGTTTGCATTGTTTCTAGAGTGGTGCGGAGCTGGTGTTAGTCCCCACCTGCGTACTCTCAGTCCTGACTCCTTCCTCAGTGACAAAGCCCCTTCTGTTAACCAGAAATTGAAACTGTAAATGTTGTTTTTCTCATTTTGTTTCATAATAAATGCCACAAAATATGTCTGGATTTCCCTAACACTCTCAATAGGCTATTGATAGGAAGCTCTCAAGTATACTTGTATTCATTACCCCTAGACTTCCTTCTTAGTCGCATTTCTTGTTCTTTGTCTGGTCTTCATACTTCCTTGTCCTTTTGTGCTACTTAGACTTCTTCCATTGTCCTGAAGAACAGGTTGCTGCACTTATTCCAAGAGGGGACCATGGAGCCCCATCACCTGGCTCATGGCTCTGCCACTTACTAACTACATGACCTCTGCAAGCTCCTCCACCTCAGATTTCTCACCCTTAAGCATGCCTAGTACTCACTTCATAATGGGACTGCAATTAAACAGGACTTCACATAAAGAACCTAACATAGGGCCTGGCTGTTGGAAAGTGTGCTATGAATGTTAGGTGTTGCTGTGGTCATTCAGAAATCCCATCTCATTAACTCTTCCTGACTAAAGTGTGGCATGCTCTTTTTGGCATAGGCTCTTTCACACATGTGTTTAATGCTGTGGTCCTCAAACTTTGGGACTAACCAGACCACCTGGGAAGCTGTCCCCCTTCCCGGGGTCTGAGTCAGCAAGCCTGGGTGATGCCAGGGCTGCTGTCCCCTAAGCAGGCCTGAGGGGACCAACGTCTAAAACCACAAGTATAATGGGAAGAGCAAAGGCTTTGGAGACAGAGACCAGAGCTGGTTTCTAGTCATGTGACCTGGGACCTGTCACTAAACTATCTGTGTCACACCCAAAAACTAGGCATGAAAATACTGCTTTCATGGGGTTATTGTGAGGAAAAAATTTAAAAGGTTATAAAGGCCCTATCACAGTGGGATCTCAGTGCATGAGGGTAATGTAGATGGAAGGTACCTCAAGAAGTTCTAACAAATCTTTGTACTAGAAGGGAAAAACAGACTTACAAGATTAAATAAATAGGTCCTCAAAAGACACTCATTGAAAGGCGATCCACACTTGGAACATCAGAGCTGGGACTTGAACTTGTCTTTCCTGTGAAAGTCAAACTCCAGGCTCTGACAAAATTCCAGGCTCTAACACTTTCCTGTAGAGCTCACGCCCACATGGCACCTCCTTTGCATGTAACCCTTTCAGGGTCTTTAGAAGGAGCAGTGATTAGCAGACAGCACTGCACTGGTAACAGTGGCATTGTAAGCATCAGAAAGGGAAACACTACATAAGTATACTATGATTTGGGAGAAGGGAGTGTTAACTTCTAACTTCTCCTGTTGCTCTTCCTCCTCCTCCGTCGCATCCTTTGGCAGATGCACTGTGTTCAATATGAAAATTCAGCCAAAGGGAAGTTTGACCCTGAAGACCCCAGAGGGCTTCCCCCGTTCCTTCACTGTGGAATCTGCAGCTAGGCACTGCTACCCTAGAAATCTGGGACATGTCGTTGCCCTATCATGAACAATTTCTTGAATGGAAGCAGCACAGGATAACTGCATTGTCAGCACAACCTGAGGCTGCTGGCTGTTGGCATCAGTAATTCTTCCTTAAAAATAAAATTTCTCTGCTCATTTCCACCCTCAAAGTTGCAGAGAACAGTTGGAAATAGTCTACACATCTTGAATTTTAGAGCTGGAAGGACTCTAAAGAGAAGTGCTTTCAATGTTTTTGACTATGATCCCTAGTAAGGAATACATTTACATTATGACGCAGTGCACATACATATGCACACACACGTTCTACCTAACATACGTTCTAGTTCATATGTGTTTTATTTATTCTATTTCATATTTTAATGTTGGTTTTGACCTGTTAAATTGGTTTCTTCACTGCTACAGAGATAACAGAGCTCAGACTGAGGAAATGACTCATCCAAAGTCACAGAGCAAGTAGCCGTAGAGCACAGCAAATTCCAAGGCCAGGAGGACCGAAATAGATGGAGCGGAGGTGGCTGGAGAAGAGGGAATGAAAGGTGGTGAGGTTCGTAGGGCCCAAGCATGACGCTCTCTGGGTCCTAACACACACATATTCACCCACACAAACTACACAAGCTATGGGAGACAGGGGAGGAATTCAAATGGGCAGCTAACCTACAAAGTCTGTGCTTTCAGCTTTTGTGGTAGAGCACTGAAGATGCAATGGGGGTGCAGGGCAGGGGAGATGCTGTACCTCTGTACCTTCTCTTCTTCTTTGTAACAGTATCTTCCAGTCCTTGCACCCATTCTCATCTGATGTGAGGATCTCATCCCTGGGTTTCCTGCCTTCCCAGGACATCCCTGCAGTTCTCTGATACCAACCCTGGTCACCTACAAACTCATTTGAATGATCCCTCTAATATCAGAATTCACAGGTCTATGCTCCCCTGACTCTGATGACCTCCATTCTTCCTTTATCACCTGAGTCAAAGCCTTGCCTTAAATCTGCCAGTGTGGAAACTGTTTTCAGATCTTATCCTGTAGAATTGCCCATATTCATTTCCAATTTCATTTTTGAAATTAAGTAGTGAACATCTTGAGATTCTACTCCTAAATATTTCATCCTGCATCTCCTAAGAATTAGGGCATCTTCTTACATAACCACATACTATTATCACACCAAGGAAAATTAACAATAGTTTTGTATTTATATCCAAGCTTAATTGCCAGTCCAGGTAAAATTTCCTTATCTCCAAAAGCTTTTAGAGCTTTTTTTTAAAAACCAAGATCCAATCAAGTTTCACTCATCACATTTGGTTAAGCCAGTTAAATAAGAATAGTTCTTCAAACTTTAGTATGTTTGTTTCATGACATTGACTTTTAGAAGAATGCAAGCCAAAGTTCAATAGAAAAACCTACACTGCATTTTTCTGATAGTTTTCTTGTGATATTTACTTACCCCCCATACCCCCGCCGCCCGCCATTTTTTCCTGTAAACTGAAAGTTGTTTCTAAAGGCTGGATTGGAATTAAACATTTTTGAGAGGGATACTTTCATAGGCGATTTGTATTTCATACCACTTTAATCAGGAGACACAGAATGCCAGATTATTCAACAACAGTGACACTAAATACATCACTTAGCTAATGTGATGACTCACAGGTCCTTCCAGTGTAAAGCTGAGGGGATTCCCTTGAAAATCTTCTTGGTAGGATCTGGGTAAGCTGTTCCACAGCAACCTTGTATGTAATGATATAAAGATCAGTTGATATTTATTTAATTACATATATCATTTAATTGACAGTTGCAAAATGGTGATTTTCTAAATTATAATTTCTTGTTTGTTTATTTGCACGCATAACTCAGTAAACAAGAGCTTTCCCATACCTGTTGGGGATGAATTAAAGTTCCTTTCCAAAAAGAACAGAGCCTCTCTTTGCTAACTTTCAGAGTAAAAAGTTGCTATATTCACTTTCAATGGTGACAAATTAGTTTCTTTTCTTTCTCTCCTGCTTTGAACAGTCCTATGGGCTTTTATTTATTCAATTTTTATTTACTTATTCAATTCTTAATTGATTTTTTTTTGAGAAAGAGAGAGGGAGAGAGGGAGAGGAGAGAGGAAGAGAGAGAGAGACATCGATTTGTTTTTCCACTTATTTATGCATTCATTGATTGCTTCTTGTATGTGCCCTGAATGGGAATTGAACCTTCAACCTTGGTGCATCAGGATGACACTATAACCAACTGAGCTACCTGTCCAGGGCCTTTATTTTTATATATTCACTTTTTTTTTTTATAACCAGTTGCAGTCATTTTTGGTGTCCAATAGCCCCACATTTGGCTATCAGGAGCTCCTTCAAGCTGGCTGGCTCCTGTGTCCTTTGAGATGTACTCTTCATTCTCTGAGCTCTTCCTTGTTTTTGGCCCATGAAAAAGTCCTAGGCTTCCCTTGTAACATCTACGCCCCTAATTGGGTATCGGCCATTTCTCCAAGGAGACTTGGGACCTTTTATTGGAGGATAGTATTTAAAAATCGAGATCTTCAAACTGAATGAGCTCATTGCCATTAGAGTATCATTGCCTCTAAGCTCTTCAGTAGCTAAAGCTAAGAAATTTACTTATTTAAATCATGAGTTTATATATTTCCAATTCATATTTAATATTAAAGTTTTCCTTAACTTTTTTATTTTATATTTGTATCTCTTTTCTCTGACACAGAAAATCTCAGTTCCTAAGGTCAATATCACATTTACTTATTTGACTATATATATATATATATATATAAAAATTAGACTATGTCTATATATATAATTTAAAATTGAAATACCAGATAATTACTTGGTGAATTTTATATGTGGGAGAGGGATTTTGTTGTTCTTAGAATAAATTTAATTAAAGATGAACAGGAAGAGCACTGTGTTCCAAAGTCACTTGAAAGAACTAATTTTTCTGTATGTCACCCAGTAATTCGTTACAGTTTCATTTCAAATTTGGTTTACTTTTATTTTTCTTTGTGATTAAATTTTATTTTTGAATAGGTAAAACATGTCTGAGTATTTATGTGACCCAAATCAAAACTCTATAAAAACATACTCAGAGAAATCGATTATAGTCATGCATATCCCCTCCACCCTGCCCCTCTTCCTCCCCAACCACCTGACTTCTACAGGTAACCAATTATTTCACCTCTGCTAATTTGATGTTTTATATCTGAATGTGTGATTTCTTCCTGCCTATTACACAAAAGAAAGCAAACTAGATTCGCTGCTCTGTGCTTTTTTCCCCCTCAATAACAACAGTAACCATCATATATCCCTGGGAGTCACGTATGTATGTGTCATCCTCATTCTTCTTTGTCACTGCATATTTTATTTAGCAGTGCTATATTGTTGTTGTTCTTCAGTTCGAAACAAGCAGTTTCGTTTACATACTCTTACTGGTGGCTTGTTGTGCCTTTGTTTATGCTCTTCTGGCCCCCTCAGGCATTTGAGGTTTTGACCTCTGCTAAGGCTTCCCAGCTGGGTGGAGGCAGAGAACACCAGGTACAGTTGATTTCCAGAGGACTCATCACGTCAGGCTGCCTGCCTTTGGTGGAGATGAGGGCAAACAAGTACTGAACTGCTGCTCTTTTCCCTCGGATCTAGTCCCTGGGCTTCTTCCTGTTTAGATGGAGAGTTAGGGAGTGATGAATGAGGGCAGGGGTGTGGCTTTAACACAGCTTGGTTTTAACTTCTCCTTCTATTCCCTTGCCCTTGTCTAGGCACACGTGGGAATGATATCCTTCCTGTGCTAATTTAGAGGCATTTACAAAAAAGGAACATGGGATTTTACTAACATTCAGAAATCATTCCATTTAGTTGAAGAAAGATTTTATTGTACACTGAAGCTAAGCTTCCATTTTCAAAAATAAGTGTTTCAGCCCTGACTGGTGTGGCTCAGTTTCTTGGGCGCTGACCCACAAAGTGAGAGGTTGAGGGTTGGATTCCTGATCAGAGCACATGCCTGGGTTGCAGGTTTGGTCCCCGGTCAGGGCATGAATACGAGGCAACCAATCGATGTTTCTCATTCACATCGATCTTTCTCTTCCTCTCTTTCTCCCTTCCTTCCCTTCTCTCCAAAAATAAGTAAAAGCTCAAAAAAAAGTTTTAGATTTCTAAGAACAGCTTTAAATATAGTGTGGGTGAGTCCTCCATATGATGACTTTCTGCCCCTGCTCATCTTCAAAGCTCATGACATACATCCTCTGGTTTTCTTTTTCTGATATGTGTCATTCATCAATCTCGCTGGAGCCAGACTTGCCTTTTTTGAGATGATAAATAAATGTTCTTTCCTGCTGGGTAATTCTTTAGCACAGCTACTTGTTCAAAGTTCATTTCTTAAGTTATTTGTCCTACTTCTGTCCTACTCTTTTTCTGACCTCTATGCCAGTGGTACAGCAAAAAGAAACTAATGCGATGAGGTGTGCCTACCGTCTAATTCACCCATGCTAGGTGCCCGTCTGGATTAGGTGATAAACACACCTTATTGCATGTCCCTGGCATTCCCTGCCTCCACCCGGCTGTGAATTACTTATGCATTAGCACATGCAGAATAAATTAACCTAACTCTGAATATATTACCCATTAGTCCTTGGAGGATAATTGTCTCCAGGAATCTGGAGAGTCCTGTGTAAGAGTCGACATCCTTTTTAGACTTGAAGTCAGGAATAAGGTGAAACAGGGATAATTTCCTGGCCTAAAGGAAGGGGACGGGGTCATAAGCAAGACAAGAAACATGTAGGGAAAAGAAGAAAGAAGGGAAAAAGTGGGGAAGAAGAAGAGAATGGGAGCAAGGGAGAGGAATAGGGGTGTTGCAGGAAAAGAATGGAAAGGGTCTAAACCATATCACAGACATAGGTCTAGTGGGAAAAACTCTTCCCTGAGGGTTGGAAGCCATGTTTTCCAGTTCCATATCTTCTGCATGTGGTGCTATCCAGGGAATCTGAGGAATGCGGTTGTAAATCAAACACTTTGGGAAACACGGTGCCTCTTTTTCCTAGCAACTAATATTTATGAGTGCTTAACATGTATCGTTAGTTTATTCAAGCATTTGACAAGAATTATGTCATTTAATTCTCACCCAAAGCCCATGAATTCGGTTGTATTATTATCTCCATTTTACTGATGTGGAAACTGAGGCACAGATGCTACATAATTTACCCGAGGTCACATTAAGCAAACAACTGTAGCATCACTGTTGCCACTCACTGCCCCCACCGTCCTCCTTGCTAGCTGAACCCCGGTACTTTGGGTTGCCAATCCGCCTCCCCTCCCCTCTATTCCCAGGGGATGAATGATAACAGACCTGAACCCATCTTGGCTCTCACATTCTCCTTCATAATATACATTTTCAGCTTCCTTTGCAGGTGGCCCTGTGACCCAGTTTTGACCAATGTGGCTTAAAGGAGAAGTGTGCTAGACTAGAGGGCTTCTGGGAAAGCTTTTCTTCTATGATAAAGAGAAAATCTATTTTCTGCTTGCCTCTTTTCTTCCTACTTGGATGCTAGTATGAAGATGCTGTACTTGCGGCTGTGGCAGCCACCTTGCCACCATGAGGTGACAAGGCCCAGAAAGAACTTCATTATGCTAAGGATGGCAGAATGGAAAGTGGGAAGTGCCCTGGGCTTTGCGGGCATTATTGGACTGCTACAGCACACCTGGATTGACCTCCCTGCACTCTTCTTACATGAAATAATCAAATGTCATTACGACTGCTAGAAATTTGTCAGATTTAGCCAAACTTGCAGCTGCATTTATATCAACTGATACAGATATGAAGTGGATTTTGGACAGACTGTCTTTGTTTTAGGCTGACATGTTGCTATTCAGTACTGCAGAATTGTCTCCTCGAGCACCACACATCCTTAACGGTGACTCCAGTATGCAGTTGTTACTTTTAACCAAGGAAGAAATGCAAGATGTAGCAAATTGCAGGAAAATGGGTACTGATGAGATTTTAACTAAAATACTATTCTATTTATATCTAAAACAGAAAAAATAATGATACAAATTGTATGTAAACTTTAGGTCACACTACAAAGGCTCCTTTCAAGGGACTCATTCATATTCCATGTCTCTCTGCATGGTTCTCACACAACCACTCACTCGCTGATTTTGTATTTCCACTCAGGACTTGAGTTTGTGCTAAAATGGTCTCGTCCCACCCCTCAAAACACTCTCTGTTTAGTTAACCTTCATATTCCCAGAATCTAGCAGAATGCCAAGTGCCTAGCACAAACTGGGTAAATGCTTGTGGTATGAAATTAAAATTGCACAACACCCCCTCTATTGAACAGCTATCAAAGTCACAGGCTTCTGAGGAATTGAAGCACATAAAGCTTTTCTGGTCTTGAGAGATTATTTCTTATTAATTATTGCAAATTTAAATAAATGCAAATTGCTGATTAGAGAAAGTTTGATAAGTTACTGATATGCAGGTGTTCAACAAATAAATTGAACTGAATGGATTGAGCTTTTCAAAGCTACATGTTCTGGACAAATGTAAATCCCAGTTAAGGTAAAATGAGGCATTTCACTACATTGTTTTGGGGGCAATAAGAATTTAATGAACTTTTTAAATATGCCTGGTTTACAACCAGGCATCAGTTAACACTGGAAGGACTAGAATTCCACTATTAAATACTTTATTTTGTGATATCTGTGCCAGTTCATGGCTTCTGAGTACAGTAAGTTGCATATATAAGGAAGTCTTGCTCCCTGATATCAGTGTTAAATGGAATTCCACTTAGTGCAAAACTGCTGCCCTTCTCAAAAGATTCTGTTTAAATCCAGAGGTTCTTGTTGCAGAGAAGACCAAAGTACTGTAGAGTGATACCCACAGTTTAAGTTGCCTCTCAATGGGCTGGATAGAGATGGATGTGAAGAACTGAGGGAATGAACTGGCAATGATGTTAAAAGTGCTCTATATTTTTCCTTATCCTTTCATTTTACTTTTAGAAAAGAGCTGAGGAATTTGAAGGTAAAGACCTTTACAAAATCGTTATTTTCTAAAACATTATGGTTCAAGGTATTAAAAAGTACTTAAAAGCAAATGTTCATAATTTCCATTCAGTAGGTCCTTCAAAATTTTAGGAAACAACAATAAAAATTAATGCTACAACAATAACACTTTATGTTTATTTAACCTGACTTCCATATTCTCTAATTGTAGCTATGTATAAACATTTTCTTATATATCCTCTGTTGTAATTACTCTAAATGGTCTTTATGCTTAGCATAATGAGAAATTATAATGAGAAAACTCATTAGCAATGCATTCATGAGAAATCAAAATGTTTCAGACTTCAACAATAATCTAAATGTAAATTTTTGTTTATTATAACATGGTAATCATTTATAAAGTAGTAACCCAATAACCAAAATATTGTAGGGTATTAGAAGTTCCCCTAACTTATGTTGCCTAGAACTGTTTAAGCTATATCAACTTTATTTATTCATTCATATGGTGTTTTTCCCATTACCATTTATCCCCATACCCTTTTCCACCTCCCCTAAATCCACTCCCCCACTCAATCACCACACCATTGTCCGTGTCCATGAGTTCTTTTTTTTTTTCTTTTTTGCTCAGCCCCTCCAATCCCAGCCCGCCCCTCCCCCCAGAGCTATCAGCCTGCTCTCTATCTATGAGTCTGTCTCTACTAAGCAATATCAACTTTGAACCTTTATTTCGTTATGGCCTTATCATCTCCTGACCTACGATGCCATCTTGTTGGGGGTGGGGGGATTATATATATATATCTCTTGAAAAAAAAATCCAGTTGATTAGGAGAGTCCTGCAAGATTAACAAAAAAGTCAAAAAAACAAAAATCTAGTCTTTTTGTCTTTTCCTTCAAGCACTTAGCATATTCTTGTTCAATTTTCATCCTCCCAATTAGCTGTAATCTCCATGAAGGAAGGGACTATGTTTGATGCACCGCTGGATCCTGAGCATCTGGACCAGCATCTGGCACGGGGTGAATGAATACAGCTGTAAGAAAGGAACTGCACACAAGGTTTTCAGGGTGTCGTCTGGTTACCAGCACATCTCAAAGCCTCATTGTTACAGTTCTAAGATGGTGCTTGTGCTATTCTCTCCTCTCATACCCTTTTTCAGTCTCTAGGGGGAATAAGCATTGGGGAAATAGAAGTGTTTTCTCCTATCAGAAAGGATGGGGAACCCTTTTGACTGGGTTGAGTGTGAACGGATTCAACACTAAGTCCTGAATGCTGGTTTCAAGCCTAATTCCTTGCTTTATGATTTGCCTCCAGGCCTTTAACATGAGTGTGCAAAGTTCCATCCGATTCAGGGATTGGTTAATATGATTCCTGTTAATCAGGGATTTTATTTTATTAAAAATAGACAGGAGGGGCCTGATGAAGGAACATAAAAGCAGTGGATGAATTCTCATAAGAAATTCAAGCTACATTATTTTACTTTATTGCTGCTTCATTTCACTAATAACTCATTTTTTCCCCTTAAATATGGCCTCTAAACTTCATTAACATCAAAAACTTTTTGTTAAGTACTTTAACTGAACATGGCACTGTACAAAGAGGTTTACACAACCAGATCCTCGTTATTTAGAAAGTTAAAATCACAGACATGAAACAAATATTTATACGGTTTATATGCTCTATGCAAATGAAGTACATCCCTGATGTACTTTGTATGATTAATACTTACTGAGGCCGAAGTAAGTCCCAGGCACTGGGTGAGAAAGCACTTTACATTCACCTTCTCCAGTAAGCTCAGCAACAAGAATGAGGAAGGTGAGGTATCAGCAAGTTAAGTAAACTGTCTAAGGAAGGTCATACAGCTGTGACATTAATCCAGGTCTGCCTAGGAGGCCCTCTTCCTTAATGACTCTGACCTGCCACTGCCCTTTGGCTTATAACCTCCTCACCCACCAATCTGTCACCCACTAACAGCCAAATGTGACAACTCAGCTTTCAGAGGAGCGACTGCCTGGAGCGGGGCAGGGATTGTGATACACACAGTGTGGTGATTGAAGTCCCTTAAATGCTTGGGGAGCCAGAGAGTATTAGATTAAGTGCTGTTAAGAACAGGGCAGCTCTGACAGAACAGAATTATCAATCAGGTTCAATTCTGTTTTACAAATAAAATCTGGACAGTTGATATTCCAAATGGCTTAAAAGAGCTCCTTATTTAATCTGTAGCTAAACCTTAATGAACAATATTCATGTTCCCTGATTCCCCTTCAAACTTCTGTCTTTGCTTGTCCTCACATAGTACTCCTCAACTTCTCATTAGAAGACTACGTCATTGCCCTAATAGCCTCAGTGGCTATCAGTCTTCAAGCCACTGCAGTCTGGCTTCTGCCCCCACCCTTCTGCGGCAAGTGCTCTCACTAAGTCCAGCGATGATAATCACCCACATCATAATAACCCCTGGTACTTCCTGTGGACTCGCTGTGCGCCAAACACTGCTCGGTTCTTTATTTACACTGGAGGGAGAAACATCAAGAACCAGGACTTGCAGATGGTTTCGGCCTAATTGGCTTAATTTTTTAAAAAATTAAGTCTACATTGAAAAATGAAAATATTTCAGACAAATATCCGATTTTTTGTGATGTTCTGTCCAGTTTGCTACAGTCCTCATAGATAATACATGCGCACTTGGACCTTCCTCACCTCCCTCATTCATGTCTTCTGCTCAACCCCTATAAGAGTATGATTTACTATCCATGCTTTACGTGGATATTCTGGTCAGGAGTGTATGATGGCTGGGAAAATATCTGCTTAAAAAGCTCAAGATTAAAGACTGGGGATATTAAACAGCAACGCAAGGGCAGGAACTGTAGCAGACCTGGGTTCTTGGAAGCTGAGACATGGAAGTCAGACAGCCACCGGCCTCCTTCCTAGTGTCTCTGCTTTTACTCCTTAGCGGCTCCATTCTCCTCTTGTCACAGACTGACTTTCTCTTCTTATTCTTCATTTCAGTTCCCTCATTGTCTCATACTTGCTCAACACGTCTCATACCCACCCTCAGGCCCCTCACAGCATCTTCCTTTATATTCCTACTTCTAATTGCCTTAGCCTTTTGATTTCCCAACTATAAACTCCTGAGAGAGGACAAACATGTATTTTCAAGTTTGGTCATATATGTTACAAATAACTTCCAAGCTGTACTAGGTCACCCTGGGGGAAATGCACAGATGTGGCGCAAACATCTGTAACATAGTGAGCTGGGAGTATCCTTCACAGGGGCTGTAGGGTGATGGACACTATAAGGCATAACTTAAGTAAATATCCTAAGCATAATTAATCCTTATAACAAAGTTGAGTGATAGTCATTATCTTCACTCATTTTGTAGACTTGAAAACTGAGGCTTAGAGAGGTGATAAAACTTGCCCAAGTTATTAAGTGGAAAAGCTGGAATTGATCTCCGGCTGCCTAACAAACAAACTCAAATCCACCATTTTCATTATCATCTTTCCGAACTTCCAGGTTGAGTAACATTCTTGCTGACTCTTGGTTTTGTACTTTTCGGACTGCTCCTCCACTCTTAAATTCCTTGGTCTTCCAATTCTTAAAAGTAGGAGTTCTCCAAGGGACTCCTCATGGCTCCTCCTTGTCTCTTTCTGTACTTTCTTCTTCTTTTTTTAAAATCAATCTTTACTTTTTTAAAAATTTATTTATTTATATATTTTATTGTTCCAATGTACTTTCTTCTCAGGCAAATTCATTGGCTGTTACAGATCTGGATACAGTGAGACACTACCACTTTTTAACATGGGGTTCTTGAACACCCCCTATCCCATTCCACAAGGAACTTGTGGACAGAATTCAGGGAGTTCATGACCTTGAATAAGAAAAAAAAATAACATCTTTATATTTTTTCTAAACTCTAACCAAAATTTCCTTCAATTATGAGTATAGGCAATAAACCACTGTTATAGCAGCAAACATTTGTGACTTTGTTACCAATAGAAATGACAGAATTTTAATCTTTTCATGGTGGTTACTTGACCCACTACTAAATCATGATAATGCATTACTAAAGAAGTATATATATTACCATATCAAAAACTGTTTTGGAAAAATAAGTAGTTTCCTTTGTAATCTTGACCCCTTTGTTTTCCACAATTAGAAACTTCTGTTTTTTTTTGAGAAAGGGTCCAGAGACTTCACCAAACTGCTGAAGGTTGAGAAGCCCTGCTTTAAAACACTTCGTCTGTTAACTAACCTTATTATGGTTATTATTTCACAGTATATATATATCAAATCACCACACTGCACACCTCAAATTTACACAATCTTATATATCCATTATATCTCAATAAAGCATCCATTATATCTCAATAAAGCTAACAAAAACAAAAACAAAAACCCACTCCAATGGTCTATCATGGCCTTTGAAGGAGATCAAGTGTTAGGCAGTGCAGGAGCAACAGCCCTAAAACCTAATGATCTACTCCATTTTCTGCGTCCTGTCTTTAAGTTTCAGCACCCTGCTTTATCTGCAGCCTTTACTTGTCAGATGGGCATCTAATCCTGTGAGTAGCATGATACCCTGGTGTTGATCTTGGACCTCTAGCTTGCATCCCAGATTGCATTCTACTCTTGGTCACGCTTTCACCTTGTGTACTAACTCTGGGTCTCAGCTCCACACTGGCCTTGGAGGTTTCCTGGACTGCTAACACTCTGTCCTGCACACAAGCTCTAGAGAGAAATTTTTTCACACAGGGTGGAAAAAACATAGCTAATTATTACTAGAGTAATTCTTATAGTATAGCTCTGATCATATTCCTCTGTTCGGCAGATTTGAGGTAGCTTAAGTAAGAGGAGGAATTTATGACATAGATAACACGGATAGTATTAACAGGCCTCAAGAGCAGCAATATAGAAATAGGTTGAACCATAAATGGGGATTCACAAACTTTTTCTGTAAAGGGCCGGGCAGTAAATGTATTAGGCTTTGCAGGCTATATGGTTCCTGTCATTCTACCATAGACAATATGAAAAGGAATGTGTTCCAATAAAACTTTATTTACAGAACAGACAACCAGCTAGAATTGACACAGAGGTGTTAGAACCCTGGGCTGAGGAATGGCCAGAACACTCTGAAACTCATCTCTGTCACCCTCCACATGTCTGCATTGTTGTTCTTTTCCTATTGACTAGCTTCTATAACTTCCGTGGTTGGTTCTCATGTTGCAACATGGCTTCTGAAACCTCTGAGCTTCCAGGTCACAAGTTAAAGTTCAAATTCTTTCCTAGTCTCTCTTTCCCAGTATTAATTCCAAATCCTTAGGGTAGGAATGTAGCCTTGCTGGGGTCACATGCTCACTCCTAGACCAGTCAGTCATGGACAAGGGTCTGTATCTTGATGTCTGAAAAGAGTTTGGGGGCACCATTATCACTACAACCTCTTGGATGAGAGAGGACAAACACATTCCAGAAAAGGGCAAGGAACTGGGCAGACAACCCAGGAGAGTTCCTTGCTATATTCATTCAAATCTCTTTTGTCAGCCCTGTTTCCTCTAAGTCCCCTCACTTCCCTTTCTGAAGCAAAACCAACTCCTGCCTATTCTCGCATACACTGCTTGGTCTCACCCTGCACTCTCCCCTTATCTGCCAGCAGAAATTTGACTCACCTTTAAAGGCTCCTCTAAAGGTCACCCTTCCCTCTCCATTGGTATAGTGTTTTGTTTTGTTTTTTTTCTCTATTTCTGTACTTTTTTTTTTTTTTTTTTTTTTTTTTGCATACAAGAGGTGCTCTGCTGATGGAGAAAATGACTTATTCATCTTTTCATCCATTCTCATACTTTCCAGAGAATAGGCTCTGGTTCCTATTTGTTGATATTAACCATATCTTCAAAGCTGTATACTTTCAAACTGCAGAAAATGCTGCTTTTTATAAAGTTGTATTTATACAGGAAATAAGTATCTATCTTCAAGAAAATTATTTTAAATTTTATAGACATACATTTCCACATTTATGGTAGCCAAACTGAAGTGGATTTGAAGAGAGAGTAAATTCAGCTAAACATATTTAAAACTGTTGAATACTAAAAAGAAATAAAGTCCCATTAAGATTGATCTTCTGTTATTATACTTAATTAAAAAGGAATACTACAGAAATGACTTAAGTCACTCAGGAAAGGTTATAAATTTAAAATACTCAAAATCGCTTTAAAACACAAATGGTCCAAACCGTTTAGTATTTGTGCAAGAAATTTTCCAAGACAGCTCACCACCTCATTTCTTTGCTTCTAGAATTATTAATTAACATTGTTCCCAGAACTCTGAAAAGCTCCCCTGCTGAAAGGAAGAAAATACAGTGCTGCAGGGAAAACGGCTTCATTTCCACTAAACTGCGACAGGCTTGCGCTTTTGTTAAACAGGAGCACTTGCTAAAGAACTATTCCTAAACTATCAGTAACTACATAAAAGCTTTTTATTTAACGGCATCCTCCAGGGAGACTGCGCTGGAATGTGCAGCAGGTCTGAAAAAGGCACAGAATTGGCTCAACTGTAAATATTAGGTGCACAGAGCAAAGCCATTGTGTTAGGGTAGGGGGTGGGGCGGGTGGGGTCCTGATTCCCAATGTTGATAGTAGGATTCTAATTTCGCTTGGTATTTATTTTTTCTACTACAATTACAGTTTTGCTAAGAAAAATAAAATATCGGTTTTGCTCTCATTTGGGTTTCTAATTTTCAGTGTCTGCAGAAAAAGAAAACCTCTCATTTATCTAAAAGAATCACCTTTCTGCAATCTCCAGAGTCACTGGGAAAACAGTCGCGCCCAGCCGCACTGACCCCGCCGCCGCCGCCGCCACCGCCGCCGCCGCCACCGCCTCCTGAGAGCCCAGCCCACCCCATCCCGAAGGCCGCAGGTCGCTGTAGCTTGCCCCACCTTGATAGCCCTGGGTGGGGATGCTCCAAACCAGCAAACCACAACATAGAACCTAAGCTTGGACTTTGAACCAAGCCTTTTTGCCTAGTTTTCTTTTTCCTCGTCACTCTGTCATCATCGCCACTCCTTGTCAGGCCCTTTTCCCCTCCTGGGGTTCCCTTCCAGCCACCTGCAGGCGGACGGGATTGACGTGCAATAAACCTGAAAAAACTCAGTCCACCAGCCACCCCAGGGAAAGACCGAAACTACAACTCCCATCATGCCCCGCCCCCATTTCCCTCCTCCCTCTCCACCTCCTCCTCCACTGCCTCGGCTGGCGGCGGAGAGGCGCTGAGGTTTTTTATCTGCAGACCGGGAGGGAGGGATCTAGATCCCGTTGATCTTACCCGAAGGGAGCGCTCTACCCAGTGGCGCCCGCGGTTCTCAGCCGAATTTTGCCTCCGCGTCCGCGCCAGCCCAGAGCCCAAGGGGGCAGACGGTGCGTCCCGGCACTGCAAGAGGATGGTCATCCGCGTGTTCATCGCCTCCTCTTCGGGCTTCGTGGCGGTGAGCGTGGCGGGGACCTGTAGCGGGCTGAGGTCGGGTTAGCCGGGATGGGGGCACCGGTACGGATCCTGCGGGAGGCGCGCGGGACTCGCCCCTGCGCGTCTCTGCGCGCAGCACGTCAGTCCGGCCGTGCTAGCCGGCGCCCGCCAGGTGATCCATTCACACTTGGACAATGAAAAGGGCGGGAGCAAGGTGGGTGGGGGACCCCAGGCTCGCCCCACGCTCACCCTGCACCAGCAGAGACGGGGACAGCGCGGGGAGCCCCCAGCTCCGGTTGTATGGCTCGGAAATTTGGAGAAGGGGTGGTCCAAGAGCGTCTGGGTCCTGCTTCCCTTGGTGTGGATTACTCCTGATTTTGGACTTTAAGCCTGGTTAAGTTTAGTACGGGAGCTTTTTCGGCTGCTTGGTTTGCTATCCTAGCTCTTGAATGAAACAAGTTTGAGCAGGAATTGCTCTCTACGCGCCTTTTCCCACCAAGTATATTTCTTTAGTGTTATACCTGCGCAAAGAAAACTGTAAACCTGGTTTTTCCTGTTGTGCCTGGAATTTTTTCCCCTTGAATACTGTAAATATGTTTACATCTTTATGTAAATGTGTGTTTGGATTCTTCCCCTGTACTGCTGTGGTCAATTTCATCTCAGGGATATATAAATGGTGGTCTCTTTAGTTATTGTAAGCTATTTAGTTTCGTCGATATTCTTAAATATTTTTAGGAAGAAGAGAAGTTAGATGTAAGACTAAGGAAAATTCCGTACTACACTTGATAGCCCAATGAGTAAGACATGTAGCAATGTTTTACATGATTATTAAGATTTGGTTTGCTTAGCTAAGAGTTAAACTATGGACTTAAGAGGCTCTTTGGCGAGGTATATAAAACATATATAAGTACATCAAAAAGTGCAGTATTGGTTGCTTAAAGTTTGACCTGGCCAGTTGACTCCCCAGCAGCTCAACCCAGTTGTCCCAAAATTTGTTTGTTAAACAGGTGGGATGGAGGATGGAATAAAATATTGTTTGCAAATCCTTATAAGCCACTGAGTCTTTTTATTTAAAGAGATATCAACACTGTAGTACCAAAAAAAAAAAAAAAAAAAAAAAGGACTCTTTTTTACATTAGGAACAATAGGTGGGAAATGCCAACTTATCTTTATATGCAGGCATGCTCTGGTCCCCAAACTCCTGATAGTTTTGGTGTTTCTAGTTGTTTGTGGTTGCTTAGTCATACCTGCCTTTTATAGATTTCTCCACTGAAGCTACCCTTCGTGTATTTGGAAACCCATACTGTTTTGTGGATAGAGTTTTTCAAATGCACCCCTTCATAAGAATGCTACAAAGCTTTTGGTTTCACCATCAACTAGCATGCTTCAATAATTGTTCCAATAGCATTTTATTGATTGTGCAAGGGATGCTTTAAAGTATTAAGAAGCCTAGGCTATACTGGATGAGTCAACGTCAAAGCTTGAGGTAATTGCTTGTCTTATCCTGTCAATAGATAGTATATCAAGATAGCTCTGGAACCCTGCATCTCTATTTCCTCAATTCCATTAACAAATATTTATTGCCAGCATGCTATGTACCTTATTAACTTTAATGTTGTTTTGCATATGAAGCTAGACTTAAGAGATCTAAGTATTTTTTTATTTAAGTTTTTTTTATCCTTACCTGAGGAAATGCTTATTGATTTTAGAAAGAGGGGAAGAAAGGGAGAAAAGGGAGAGAAACATTGATGCAAGAGAGAAACATTGATTGGTTGCCTTTTGTACATGCCCCCGACTGGGAACTGAACCCACAAACCAGACATGTGTCTTGGCCTGGAATCAAACCAGTGACCCTTTGGCCTGTAAGACAATGCCCAACCAACTGAGCCGTGTGGGCAACGGGGGAAGACCTAAGTTTGAATGCAGTCTCTAACTAGCGGTGTAAGCTTGGACAAGGTGCTCCCTCTGCCTGAGCCTTTTTTCTGTAGAATGTAGAGTTGTGTGACAAATAACTCAGAATTGCACTCTAGCTTTCAAATGCTTTGACGGCGTCAGTGGGTAAATGTGAATAAACCCTTGCAACAGCTTCTTTTAATACAGCAATATATGTATAAGCCTTAAAGTGAATTTATGTTTTCTTTGGTGTTTTACTGCGGTGTCTCAGGTCCCCTCATGGCCCTGTGTTCTGACATGATTTGATTTGAGCTGGAAGACAGACTCTGTTATCACATATGTACAGCCCATAAACACTCATTATCTGCTTAATGGACTCAGTCTTTTCAAGTCTCAGTTAATCCTCAGCCATAGAGTCTCTCCAATTGTAGTATTTCCTATATCCATACACAGTTTTTCTGTAATTATGTAATATTGATACTTTTGGCAATGATAACTTTATGCTCATGTACAAGAATAATGATTTCCAAGAGGTAATGAAGTTGTTTAAGTCAACTGTTGGGCTGGGAGGCTAATAGGGCTTATAGCATTAAGCTATATTAAGCTTTGATGGCATAGCTGTGAAGTTTTCCTTCCAGCAGTGTTGTGTTGACCATTGGCACTGTTTTATTTGGTGACCAACCGTGACTAGAAAGTGCATGGGAGAACAAATAATTTGATTTCTGAGTCAGTTTGATTTTAGCTGAAGTTTATTAAACCTCAAGGGAAGAATATGACTAGAATTAGACTTAGCTAAGTAAGTCCCAGGAATTTCTAGAAAGATGCTCTGCCCCAATCAGCAATAGATTCAAATATTCTATTTAGAGAAAATGCTCATATCTTGTTCTGATTTCCCCGAACTCTCTGGCTTCAACGTATAACAGTGGTAGTTGAAATAATTAACACCTAAGGGTGATTGCCCTTTTATCCTGCTTGGCTCCAGGTAAAATCTGCTTTTACTAGGAAATAAAAGCAATTCCACATTATTATGATAATGGATATCTGAAAAATCAGATTTTTTATGCACCTGATAACGTTGCTGTCCTTCTTGTTGCGGTGAAGGACGTTTTATTTCAGTCTTAGGACAATAATGTATTTGGCTTATCCTGGTTGCATACCTAAAGGGGGAGGTCTTGGTAACTTTATGCTGGAAATATATTAATATGAATTTTTAATTTAAAAACATTGAAATCTGTCAGCTATTTCATTCACTCCTTATTTAATTCATTCAATAAGTGTTTTCTAAGGGTTGCTTCTTGCCTAGCACTGTCCTTGGTCTTCTGGGGAAGTAGAGGAGAATAAAGGGGGTGGTCTGTGTCCTCAAGGAATTCTTGTGGGGACCAGGTGGGGAGATAAGATAGGAAAGGTAAAACCATGGTAATAGAGTACAGCCCAAGGACATATGCCTCTTTCAGGAACATTCTTACCAGAGATAGAAATAATATAGGCAGCAGAGGGATACATTGCAGGATGTCAGATAAGGAGGAAATGTGCCAGAAATCATGAAATATGCATGTGGGAGCCTTAGGCAGATGGCAGAGAGAGGGATTGAGTTAGATTTGGAGCCTGGGAGTCAGTGCATAAAGCCCTCCTTCTTCAGGCTGGAAAGGGAGGAGCTTTGGGTGGGAGACAGCAGGCAGCAGAGGTCCCTGTGGACCCCTTTTGAGGTCAGCGTAGACTCTGTCCTTGAAAGAAGCCCATGATAACACACAAACTCCGTGTAGTCAGTGTCTCCGAGATGTCTTCCGTATCTGCAGCTTGCATGATCTCTGGAACCTTTTCCCCCAGAGAACAGGTACCCTCTGACAGGGAGGGACTGCTGGCGTGTGATTTCAGAAAAATGCACCTGCCCTCTCTTCCCCCCCCCCCCCCAGCAGAAGTATTGACTAAAATTTTTCAAAAAAGAAATAAAGTCTTTTACTCTTTGTTAAAGTTCATGGGCTCAGTTTTTAGAGCAGGAAGAAAACAAATTTTTAGTGAAGTCCAACCACCTAATTTCACAAGAAGGAAATTTGGACAAAGAGATTCAGTGGCTTTCCCTGAGGTCATTTATGTCAGCCAGTGCAGAGCTGAGGGTTAAATGGAAGCCAGGTCTCCTGACTCTTGAATGTATTCATTCATGTGTTCATTCGGCAATGCGTTCATTCACACATGGATTAATTCTTGCACTCATCAATCATTGAAAACCTACTAAGTACCAGGATCTGTGTTAGGTGCTGTTAGGTGTTAGGTGTGGTATATGTGATGGTCAGAAGAACAGATTTAATCTCTGCCCTTGTCGCACAAATCATGGCTGACTCTCTACAGCTCAAAGACTTGAGATGTAAACTGTTTAACCAAGGAGAATGGGGGACTCGCTGCCTTGGGGGATGTTTCCATGGGCAATATGAAATGAGCTAGACAGCAAGTATATCCCTGGATGTGGGTTATGCTTCACTGGGAACAAAAGTTACAGAGAAATTGGAAGCAAAGTTGGAAAAAATGGAGCTTTGCCCAGGGTGGCAAGTACCGTATTTTGCTGTATATAATGTGCACCCATGTTTTTGTGTGCATTATACCCATGTATAATGTGCATCCTTACTTTTCCCTCAAAAATTTGGGCAAAAATGTGTGCATTATATGGGGCAAAATACAGTACATTTCAAGTACAGTAGCATGGTGGAAGGACACATAGAAACGATATTCAGAGATGTCTTGCTCTTTGCCACTGTAGAAGGCATACCCAGCTGCTCTGTATGACTTATAACTGTTTTAAACATGCAGTGATCAGTTAAGCAATTGCATCTCCACAGAATGTATTTAGTGAAGCTCCATTGTGTGAGGAAGCAATCAAAAAGAGTTCAAGGCAGTCAAAGTCAGGATGTGATTTTGTAGAACAGACCAGGCATTAATTCCTAAGTAATTGTAATGCAAGAAGGTGTTAGAAAAGGTAAGACTGGGCTTCCAAGCATCTTTAACTCATTTTATCATCAGTCATATGGCCAGGGTTTGATAGTTATTCCCATTTTACTCTTTAGTTGAAGAGATTGAAGTTAACCTACCTGATGAGATCATGCACAGTAGATGGCGGGACCATGAGTCACACTCTGG